CTATAGTGTAGTGGCGCAATCTCAGCTCATTGCAACCTCCTTCTCCTGGGTTCAAGCGATTCTCCTGCCTCAGCCTCCCGAGTAGCTGGGACTACAGGTGCACCCGTACCCCACCATGCCTGGTTAATTTTTTGTGTTTTTAGTAGAGACAGTGTGTCACCATGTTGGACAGGCTGGTCTTGAACTCCTGAGCTCAGGCAATCCATCTGTGTTGGCTTCCCAGAGTGCTGGGATTACAGGCGTGAGTCACCACACCTGGCCCATTGTTGTCATCTCATTGGACCGCTACGGAATATGTGGTTCATTGTTGACTGAAACGTCATTATGTGACATGTGACTTATTTTTCCTTGAGTTAATTATGAAATTACTTTGTATAAGTTTTTTGGTAACTGTTCTTAAATTCAAATTTGAAGATGAATCCTGTTTAATCACTGAGTCAGACTTTTTTTGTATTTTGGCAATTTACAGATTTACTGTCCATTTTAAACTTGACCTGTTTATGTGTAACATCCTGAATATATACAGAAGGACTTCTAAATCAGTAGATGCTTGATTTCAGTGGATATTATTGAAATACAAATAAGAAAAAAAACAAGGAATGAATACCATTTCATACCCAGATTGACAAAAAAGAAAAATTCTGACAGTGTCAAATATTGAGAAGGAGGTAGAGGAATGGGAACCTTTAACTTTGCTTGCGTTAGCAATGATGAAATACAATTAAAACTGAAATCTGCTTCCCCCAGAAAACATCTCTTCAAAGGAAGAAGAGAAAGGAAACAATTTCATTTTTGAGTAAGTATTAAACCAGAATGACACATGTATCACAAGCAATCTGCTAAAAGATTGCAAAGACCAAAAGGATGTTCACCCTTACATATAGCCAAGTAGGTGCAACCCATTACAAACCAGTTCTCAAGATAAACAATAAATAGTGTTAAACTAAGAGGACTTGATATCATCTTTTGCCACACATAGTTTATCCTAAATTCACTTGGTAATTGGAGCGACCTTTTGTATGAACGAATTGGCTTTTTCCAAAGGAAAAATGAACTCATATCTCTATAAAAGGCTTTAATTTTGCAGCTTGGAACTAGATGGCCTGCCAAAGTTAGGCACCCTATCCTCCCACGGAAACAGAGAGATAAGGGCACCATCTCTTTTGATGATCTTATTTGAAAGAGATGGCCATTAGGTCCTTGAGAAAGGCAGCTTTGGGCTGCTGCTGGCTAGCTTTTACAAAGATTTACATACATCTGTAAGTGAGCAGAGAAATAATTTACAAGTTTTTGAAAGCAAACACTGTAAGAAAAGGGCTGGGGGAGTGCAGTTATAATTAGGCCTCTTATTTTAAATTTTCATTTGCCTGTATACTGACGGATAAGTTGTTCCAGCTACCTTAGTGGGCAACTTAGCAGTGTTGTAGTCGAGTTGAAGAAGAGTACACCGTCTGATTCATCACTTTTACTTTTAGATAAATCTTAGAAGAACTGTTAACACATGTTCATAGGATACTTGTAGCATTATGTATTAATAGTGAAACATTAGTGACAACCAAAATATTTTGAAGTAGAGAAGTGAGTAGATAAATTTTGCTATATTCATATAGTACAATACTATACAGTGTTGCAAATGAATAATTTAGGGGAACATATCAACTTGGGTAATTTTCAAAAACAATGTTGAATTACTAAAGCAAGTTGCAGAAGAATATGTGCAATATATTGATATAATATTTAAAAACATGCAGAACAATACCACGTATTGTTTATTGATATGCAGTGAAAGTAGAATAGAATGATAAACACCAAAATCAGGAAGTGGTTACCTCTAAGGAGGGAGGTGTACAAAGGGATCAGCAAGGGATTCTTTTATTTCTTAACCAAAGAAAATCTTAAGTAAATAAGGTAGAATGTTAAGATTTAATTTATTTAGGCAGTGGGTATGTGTGCATTTGTTATATTATTACCTAGATTCTTTTGTAATGTTTAAATATTTAATGATTGAAAGTTTTAAAAGGAAGAATGGATGGCAAGCGGTGGAAGGAAATGAGGACATCTCTTCAAGAAAATTTCTTGTAAAGGGGATCAAAGAAATGGAGAGGTAGTTGAAGGGAAATTAATCAGTGTTAGTATGACACATTTGCATGCTAATAATAATGATCACGTAAAAAGGGAAGAATTGATATAGGAGACCTATAATAGTTACGGGAGCAGAATCCTTGAGAAAGAAAAAAATAATGGAATGCAGTATAGAAATACTGTTTGGTTCTTGATAGGAACAAGGATAATTTGTTGAAAAAGGAGGGAAAGCAGAATAAGTGGAGGAAAGATGAAGTAGTTCTCTTCTGAATTTAGGGTGACCAACATCCACGTTTGCTTGTGATTTAGCAGTTTCTCAGAATGCAGGACTTCTAGTGCTAAAACTGGGAAAGTCTTGTGCTAACTTCTGATCATTTTTCCTTGACAAAATGAAAAGCATTGATTATCTTCTGGGAGAGATAAGGGAATGAAGGAAGTATTCAGGCTTAAGGTAAAAAGAGAAGCTATGAGTGATAGGAGAACAGATTCACTATGTGAATGTGATAGGATTTTTGAGCATTTCAGGGGTCTGCTGAAATTTATGGTTATTATTATTATTATTTTTAATTCTTTGTCAATGAATGAGAGTTTTGTATGTTGCCCAGGCTGGTCTCGAATGCATAGCCTTGCCTCCTCAAGCACCAGGACAACTGGCCTGAGCCACTGTGGCTCCCTATGGTTATTATTTTAAAGTTTATATGGTTGTATTTCTCTTCAGTCTCATTCAGCTGTTCAGGTAAAAGTACTGTGTTAAGTGGAAAGTTGGTTTTAAACTATGTTTTGACCGTGATGGTGGGAGAGAGGAGCAGAGAAGTGAGGCGGCAAGTAAGGGAATGATTGTGATGGATTTTTTGAATTTTAGACCAGAGATTCAATAAAAGAGAGATGAAGGATAGTGAAAAAATTTGTAGGGTCTGTTGGAGTTAACAGGTTTCTGGTAGTAAATTGGAGAGATATGTAAATATATTGAGTAAAGAAGCTGAGATGCTTGAAATTGAGATTTTTAAGGTAGTGTAGTTACTGGTTGTCAATTTCATCATGAGACTAGGGGCCAGAGTGGGATGGAAGAAAAGATGATTGGGTGTGGAAGAGATTACCTTTGTGGATGTCATTTCAGTGACTAATCTGTAGAGCAGATTTTGGTGCTCTGTAACATATTCAATTATTTCTTCTTCATATACTGAGAATCTTTCGTTTCCTGTTTTATCTTGTTTAAGTATTGCCTCAACTTGTAAATCACATTGTGTTGCTCTGAAATGAAGACAGTTGTAAATAAGTAAATGGATAAAAGCAAATTTTGTTTAATCAGAATTTGGCCTTATTGTGTGGTTGGTAAAGTTAAACATTAACATCCCAACTGATGATCCTATAGCTCATTAAGCTAGTTTAGTCCCATGTAAGTTCAATGAGGGCTTTATGCCATGTGTGGTTATCTGTAGTGCACTACTTTGCTGACTCTAATTTTGTCTTTGTCTTTTTATAGGACCGCAGCTGAATGCACAGCTAGAAGGTTGGCTTTCACAAGTACAGTCTACAAAAAGACCTGCTAGAGCCATTATTGCACCGTAAGTTTTTTTATTTTTTAATTTTGTTTGTTTTTAAGGGGTCTCCCTCTGTCGCCCAGGTTGAAGTGCAATGGTGTGATCTCAGCTCACTCCAACCTCTGCCTCCCAGGTTCAAGCTGCTCTCCTGCCTCAGCCAACTCAGAAGCTGGGACTGCAAGCGTGTGCCACCACGCCCGGCCAATTTTTGTATTTTTAATAGAGACGGGGTTTCACCATGTTGGCCAGGCTGATCTCATACTGCTGACCTCAAGTGATCTACCCGCCTCAGCCTCCCAAAGTGCTGGGATTACAGGCGTGAGTCACCGTGCCTGGTCTGCACTGTAAGTTTTAAGAGTCTACTTAAAATCTTTTGTATGTTTATTATTAGTAAATGAGTATCTACAGATTGAACTAAAAATTAAAAACTAAAGTCTATATGGAGCTGAAGAAATTGCATTCAGTAATTTCCAGAATTCCTGTGGGTTTTCACTGTAACTTAAGTATAAAAGAATTGGCTACTTTAGCTGGGTGCGGTGACTCACGCCTGTATTTCCAGCACTTTGGGAGGCCAAGGTGGGAGGATTGCTTGAACCCAGGAGTTTGAGACCAGCCTGAGCAACATGGCAAGACTCCATCTCTACTAAAAATACAAAAATTAGCTGGGTGTGGTGATGCACTTGTAGTCCCAGTAAGCTACTTGGGGGTGAGTGGGGGTGTGGGCTGAGGTGGGGGGAATGGCTTAAGCCTGGGAGGTGGAGGTTGTGGTGAGCCAGATCATGCCATTGCACTCCAGCCTGGGTGACAGAATAAGACCCCACCTCAAAAAACAAACAAACAAAAAAAGAATTGGCTACTTTATTTCCTCAGATGCAGTAATTTCAAAATTTATTTTTGGTAATAAAACTGACTTTTAAAGAAAAGAGTTATTTACATTAGGTAAACTTGCCAATATCATAGTCATTGCTATAAATGAATAAGTTCTATTTTAAATATTAAAGAGATTTAATTTAATTTAATTTTAGAGAGTTTAATTTTAGAGATTTTAGAGACTTTGCTTTTTAGAACTGCAAGCTGGCACATACCTAGTTAATGATGTGTGTCTATGTATGATATGAATTCAGTTAATTTTGATGTTGGTTTCCAGTGCTAACCTTCACAACATATTGTTTGAAACACATGGTAGCATTTTTTTCTGAGCGGAGTGAAGGTTCAGTCTGTGCCATTTATCTCATAGCATGCTGTTTGTGACTACTATTAGGTTAAGGTTCGTGCCCTTATAAATAGTAAATAGTGATGACAGTATATAATAACCGCTTATTAATATCAGAATTAAATGAGTAAATAGTAAATACACATAAAAAGCCTAGATTGGAAGTGTTCTATTAATGATAGGCATTTTATCTACCAAGTATTTTGTTAAATGCCTTTTTTGTATATCTAACTTGATCTCATTTAATGGGTGCAGGAGCCTGACTTCCACTTACAAGCTATGTGACATGCAACTTATTTTATCTGTTGTGATTTTAGCTCCTCATTGGTAAAGGTGGAATAATAATAGTACCTCCTTCACGCTTTATAACAAAAGATTAAATGACCGAATCTTTATAAAACTTGTAGCAAACAACTTACTACTATTTAGTCATTTATGTACCAGCCTAAAGGCCAGGTGCTCTTTGTGCTGCTTTTTGAGTAGTTCAAAATTGCTACTCTGTGGTACTAGCATCTTGGTACTAGGGAAGACAGGCAGTAAACAAATAATTATTTTCTGTGTCAAGTGCTGATGGGTGCTAAGAAGAAAAATAAAGCAGATAGAGGATTGAGAGTGACAGCATGAGTAGGGAGTTACTGTTTTATATAGGATTAGTAAGAAAAGGACTCCCTGGTAAGGTAACATTTGAGTCTGAATGATGTGGGAGAGCAAGCTGTGCAGATACCTGGGGGAAGAGAGTTTCAGGTTGAGGAACAGCAAGCACAAAGGCTCTGGGGCAGGAGTATGCTTAGTGTGTTTGAGGAAAGGCAAGGAGGCCAGTGCAGCTGGAGTGGCAGTACAAGGGGAAGAGTGGTAGATGAGATAGGTGGCAGAGGGCTAGATCATGAAGAGACTTTGTAGTCAAAAAGATTTTGGTTTTTATTCTGAGTGATATCACAAGTCATGGCAAGTTCTGAGCAGTAGGGTGACATAATCTAAGTTTGAAAAGAATTACGCTTGCTGCTGTATGGATATTATATTGTGTGGGAATAAGGAATCCAGTTTAGGAGGCTTATTTCTCATCTCTTTAGAAAAGAGATGAGATAGTGGCTTGGACTGGGGGCTTGAGGTGGAGGTGATGAGAAGTATTATAGTCTGGACATGTTTTAAAGGTTGAACCAACAAGATAGGGAGAAGAAGAGTCAAGAATGACTCTTGGCTAGGGGCAGTGGCTCACACCTGTAATCCCAGCACTTTGGGAGGCCTAAGCAGGAGGATTGCTTGAAGCCAGGAGTTTGAGGTCAGCCTGGGCAACAAAGCAAGACCCTGTCTCTACAAAAATTAACTGGGTGTGGTGGCATATGCACCTGTAGTCCTGCTGCTTGGTAGATTGAGGCAGAAGGATCCCTTGAGCCCGGGAATTTGAGGCTGCAGTGAGCTATGGTCTGATTGCACCACTGTACCTCCTGCTTGGGCAACAGTGAGATACCCTGTCTTTAGAAGTATTTTATAAAGACATGGTTTTAAAATATCATGACTGAATGATTTTTAAGTTTTGTCCTGTGAAACTAGAAGGATGGAATTACTTTTATACTGATAAGGGGAAGACGAGTGGAAATGTGGGGGTAGATTTTGAAGTGCTTATATAGAATCTAGGTTTTTGGTTTTGATCTTGTTAATGTTGAGGTGATTATTAGATATCCAAACGGAGATTACTAATGGGCAACTGGCTAAGTGAATCTGGAGTACAAAGAAGTGGCACCAGACTTGAGATAGAAATAAGGGCTATATTAGTATATATAATCACAGAGGTTGCCTAGGAATAAAATAAAGATAGACAGGAGAAGAGTTTCAAGGACTAAGCCCTTGGACAAGCCAACTTTTTAGAGGCCAGAATGAAGATGAACATTTGCAAAGGAGATATTGAAGGGAGAAGAAGTGAGGAAGGAGGAAAACCAAGAGTGAGTGATGTCTCTGGGAGGCCAAAGGGTGAAAAATGTGTCAGGGAGGAGAAAGTGATCAGCTGTATCAGATGCTGCCAGAGAGGACTGAGGATTGATAATTGGATTTGGCAATGTGGAAATCACTGGTGACCTTAAGAAGAAAAGTTTCTGTGGGTGGTAGAAATGAAAGTGTTATTGGAGGGAGTAGATTCAGGAAAGAATGAGAGGCGAGGGCAATGAAGACATCAGTATAGGTAGTTTTTTGAGGAATTTTGCTGTAAAACAGAGAAATAGGACAATACCTCTATAGTAAGGAGGATTTTTATTTCATTTGAGAGATTTTAAAGAGTTTGTATATGAAGAGAGTCAGTAGGGAAAGAAAAATTGATGCAGGAATAAGAGGGGGCATTTACCTAAGTGAGATCCTTGATTAGGTAAGAAACAATTAATTAATAATCATTTCTTTATAGTAACTCATGAGAGACATTTTATTTTCATTTCTTATGGTATGCTATCTTTCCAGTTAAAACTTGTTCTAAATTTGGGAGCTGAGTTGAATCAACATATAATTAAGTTGAGGCTAGTATTCATAAAAAAGTAGCCAGACTTGTTTCCTTCTTGTAATTAATTTTAAATTGGAATCATTGGGAGTGACCTGGGAAGTGAAATGTTTCAGCCTAAATTACAAATATGTTGATTTGCAAGTTACCATAGATTTTAAAATGAAAATAGTTTTGGCTTTGGTGTGTTTCTGTTATATACTGACTTTGTATATAACATATAATAAATGTTGTAATAAACATACATAAACATATAAAGACATAAATATAAACGTATAATAAACATTGTAAGTGTGCATTTACAAGCAATTTCTATTTTGTTAACATAGGAAGACTTTAAGTTAGCCAAGTTTTATCTTACGTGGTTTCCAGAAGTAATTATTTTCCTTTCCAAGGTTACCTTTTTTTTTTTTTTTGAGGTAGAAAACAACAAATATTTCATTGTTACTGGGCGCAGTGGCTCATGCTTGTAATCCCAGCACTTTGGGAGCCTGAGGTGGGCAGATCACTTGGGCTCAGAAGTTCAAGATTAGCCTGGATAACATGGTGAAACCCCCTCTACAAAAAATACAAAAATTAGCTGGGTGTGGTGGCATGTATGTGCAGCCCCAGCTACTCCAGAGGTTGAGATGGGAAGATCACTTGAGCCTGGCAGGTTGGGGCTGCACTGAGCTGAGATCACGCCATTGAACTCTAGCCTGGGTGATGGGAGTGAGACCCTGTCTCAAAAAAAATAAAGTTACTGTTCTATGGCGTGAAAGAGTCTTTGTGTTATATAGTATTTAGAAAAATCACGTTAATAAAAAACTTACTTTAAGGTTTATAAATGTTAGCTCTCTAAGACTTGCTTTTCTTAGATTTTTTTTACGTTTATAGGCATAAATTGTATCATGGAAACCTTAAATAAACTCAGAACCTGGATATAGTTGTAACTAATCAGGCTGAGTGAAAATGGCAAATTTTTGAAAGTGCATAAACATGTTGTTCATTTTTATGTTGATACAGATTAAATAGGATATATATCATTAAAGAGTAAATATTGACCTGTCAACTGTTCTATCTTAATGAATTCTAATCTATATGACATAAGGCAGGCACATTTGGAGGATTTAAAAGAAATTAATTTGATTAAAGTGTACTGTGGTTGAATTTAGAACTACCTTATCTTGATGTGTAGGAGACAGTGTGTGTCCCAGGGATATATTGAAATGATCTCATGAGCTAAAAGTCTGAAAAGCCTTTCTACATGACTTCCAGATACCTTGATACCAATCTTCTTGCTTGTCTTGCACCATGCAGAAATATGTCAGCAACCCCTAGAATGAAGCT